GTAGGTCCCTCCGCTTTGTGTGACAACATCAAGGCGCACGCCACAAATCGGAGGAGAAGCTCGGCCAAACACTAACATATGTGTAAGCGCCAATCTATTATTATTATTATTAACTTTTTTTTTTTAAAATAATTTCTCCGTTTTTCGAAGTTAGTCTCCGAAATCGAGATATGGGCCTTCGGAGTTCGAAATTGGACTTTTAGTAAAAAAATATTTTTAATTAATTACTAAAAAAGTAAAAATATGCGCGTGGTCCGCCTTTTTCTCTTATTTAAACGGTATATAACTTTTTTTGTTCAAACTTATATTACAGGTGCTATAAGGGGTCAAGGGTCAGATCTTCAAAAAATCAAAAAAATTATATTTCAAAAAATTTTTAACTGAATTGTAAGTTTTAGAAAGGACCTGCAATTAAGGTTTGCGGAAAAGACGGATTACGTCGATACTTTGTTTTAGTTATTTACATACAATACTCAAAGAAAAATCTCGATTTCGGAGGCTAACTTCGAAAAACGGAGAAGTTATTTTTTTACTTATGGCTCATTCTCTTGAAAAAAATTGGTTTGGTCGAATGCCCAGATAAAAAGTTAATTTGCCGTATATAGTAATAAAATAAAATGCCTATCAAACTTGGGCGTACAAAATTTTTTATTCTTATTTACGCCCCTGACTATCCGCCACTGAATATTTTAATACATACATACATCGTATCAGATCGTATGCAACAAACTGTAATCGTGTCAAGTGTGTCAAATAAAGTGGCAGTCAGTATTGGGTTGCCGCAGGGATCGGTATTGGCCCCAGTACTTTTTAATATTTACATTAACGACATAAATATGGCACTCAAGCACTGTAAGCTAAAACTGTTCGCTGATGATACACTGTTAACGATCAGTGACAGAAACTTACAGACTGCGATGACTAAAATGCAAGAAGACTTGGATTCTTTGTACAAATGGTTGTGTTTAAATAAACTTAAGTTGAATGTAAAAAAGACACAGTTCATGATCCTCACTAGAGCAGTTAATCTTGGGACCACCAGTTACAATTTAAAAATCAAAGAGGAAGAAATTGAGGAAGTTAAACTCATTAAGTACCTGGGTATATATATAGATAATAAACTTAAATTTGATGAGCATGTTGAGCATACAGTGAACAAAATTGCGAAAAAATTGGTCTTATGAAAACATCTTGTAAGTATCTGAGAAGAAGGTATAAAACCCTGGTCTATAGATCTATAGTAGAACCACATTTTATATACTGCCCAACAATCTTCTTCTTAGCAAGCGACGCAAATATAGAGAAATTGCAAAATATGCAAAATAGAGCTATGAGGTTCATATTAAATAAGCGTTACGATACACCTACACAGGAGATGATCACAGATAAGAATTGGTTGAGTGTTAAGCAACAGGTTTTCTATCATGCTATGAAATTCGTATACAACATAAAGAACGGTAAACTTCCAGACTATCTGAGCGACAATCTTCGGTATATAAATGAAACTCATTCATATATACTCAGGGAAAACAATTGCTTTAGACTCCCACTTTATAGAACAGAGGTAGACAAAAAAAATATATTTTATAAAGGTTTAAAGTGTTTTAATGAGTTACCGCCACATGTAAAAGACTGTGATAACTTTGTTGCTTTTAAAAGACAACTATTTGTTCACTGTAAAACTCTGGCTATTAGGTAGGAGAGCACGAAACGGAATGGAAACCAGGCCTTTCCATCCGACCAAGCAGCAAATGATCTAGCATACGAAAGCTTCCGACTATGCCCAACAGCCCGACCATAACGCGGAGCGGAAACTAGACCTTTCCGCCCGCCTCATATCACGGAATCCAGCGTCAGGGTTTGCATATTAATGACGACGGGAACATGGATCGGAGACTCGGCCTTTCCGACCGTGACTATCAACTCGTGAGCAACGCGGAGCGGAAACAAGGTCTTTCCGCCTGCTGCACATAGTACATATTTAAAGGTAGACTGGAGACTAGGCCTCGCCAGCTACCAAACTAGTTAGACAATATACATTTATATAGGTTAATTGATAGTTTTAGAAACATAAACAGCTTTGTAATTGAAAATTTAAACTTACATATACGCATACTTTGTTATATATTAAAAATACCTATAAATAAATAAATAAATAAATAAACTTTGTGAGAGTTTCTATGGAATTTACTGTAGTTAAATTTAACTAATGATTTAACTATACTTTAAAATTGATAAGTTAACGGCCCTTAATATTAGCCGAAAGGATTAGTCGCAGCGTAGTAGGTACTTCTCACTGCAATTATACAGACCATGATACAATAATTTTTAGAAGGTAGTTTCACTTCTTCTTCTTATCCGCCATGTTAGCTATCTGACAGAAAACGTGTTTCGTATTTTTTGTTGTACCAACTTTTTCAAAAAAAATTCAGCTTTTGACGTTGGAAAAATAAATAGTAATTTTCGAATATTTTTTAATAATTTTCTTCATAAAAAATTAACTGCTGCTTTCGTGGATATTGCAACACACGGAATAGATGTAAGGATACAGCTATAAGAGCCATCGCATACCACAGACTTTATCGGCCGCCTATTTAAATAATAGGGCTCGCTTGAAATATGTATCTACATGAAGATGTATGGAGATGCGCACACTACACCAGCTTAATCGCTCCGACCAATAAGTTGTGGTGCAATGGAAAGACTAGCGAGTCTATCTAAATCGGCTGCCGATATAGTCCGTGGTGAGCGATGGATCTAATCCATTATAAACAAGAAATATTGCCGTTATATTTTCATTTTTATAATTTTTATTCGTGTGATTAGCAGTGGCAAAAATGTATGTATTAAATACGTATATTTATATTAAAAATTAAGTGATTAGTTATGAAACATATAAATCTTTACATGTTCTGTTAAAAAATATCTAAAATAACAAGCGAAAATCCCCAAGTACTATATCGTAGCAGTGGCCACATTGCGTGTTTGTCACAGACATGGTTTATGTCACAAAAATTTTGAAGTGAAACTCCCTTCTAAAAATTATTGGCTGCATTTCTTTATACATTCTGAACGTTTGGAATAAACTTTGTTTATTTATTCTTTAGAACGTTCCTGATGATATGTTGACGTATATTTCAAACGCATTCTGTTTATTCCGGCTGTGAAATGGGATTATCCGGAATGTATAAAGAAACGCAGCCATTGTATCATGATACAGACAACATCTTTACAAAACGAGATATCTTTAATCTCGATCAGCTGAACGAAAATCGTCTGCGACATTAGCAGCGACGCGGTAATTGTCAAAACTTTTGAATTGATTAAAAATATTTCCTGTAAAATTGAGAGATAGGACATTTTCTTATTCTGATTAAAATATTTTTCTGGACATTTTTATTCTTGGCAGATATTGACTACTATAATATTTAATTGGTTAATAAAAGTTACAATTTGACGTCCAAAGAAAGACAAACAATTAAGATAAAGGTTATGGGTCTTCAGTTCAATAATGTGTTGTCCAAGGTTATTTAAATCATTTTTGTTTCAAGGCTTAAATATTCGAGGGAAGATTAAAGAAATACTAGCACATTTTGGATGTGATGTTGAAGAAGACAATCCTGTCATAGTGACAGACTGTGGGAGTAACATGATTGCAGCTTTTTGAGGAGCTCAAAGCATTCATTGTATCAACCATTTACTATTTACGCAACGTTATTGAAAAAGCAGTTAAGACAGTACCTGAACTTACTCAAATGGTAACAAAATGCAGTAAGCCTGTAAAATATTAAAAAAAAAAATCAGGAACAAATGCAAGTTTACGAATTTGTTTCACAAGTTTTTGCCCAACCCGTTGGAACACAATATTTTATCTAGTTAAATCAATTCATAGTTCTCAAGTTGATATCCAATATCATTCTCTAACTCGAAACGCGAAGTGTTTCAAGTGGCAAAATTACTGTCGGACTGTATACTGTGAAGTGAATTATTGTAATATGATATTGATTAATTATATAGGCTGCATTTCTTTATTCATTCTGAACGTTTGGAATAAACCTTTTTGTTTATTTATTCTTTAGAACGTTCCTGATGATATGTTGACGTATATTTCACACGCATTCTGTTTATTCCGGCTGTGAAATGGGATTATCCGGAAAGTATAAAGAAACGCAGCCATAGTAAAAAAGTAGTAATAAAATGAAAAATTAATATTTAAATTCGTCTGTGTATGTCGTTTCAATCAAAAAGGTATAAGGTATATCACTATTTTAATTTCAGTATTTCAATGATATGTTTGAGACCAATTGGAGAATTACATTGGAGTTCACGTTGAGAACTTGCATTTTCTCAACAAGAGTGTATTTAAATACCTCTCATTCGCTGAATGCGTTACAATATTTCACTCAATATATATATTTAAGTCACTAAAATTTTTACTGGGTGATAGGGTTGCCAGATTTTTTATGA